TCCAAGGTGACACCGCGTGGCACGGGGACGGGATGGGAGAGGGAGTCGAGGTCAGGTAGGACGGCGGGCCCGGCTCCGTCCTTGGTGCGAAGCCGCGTCCTCCCGGCTCCTCGCCCCGCCGTTCCGCGTTGAAGGGCACGGAGGTGTCCTGTGCGGTGCCCGCACGGTGCTGTGGGGCTGAGAGGTGGGGCTGTGGTGGATGTGGAGCGGTGCTCGGGTGTCTTTGGCCCGAATCTGGGGTGTTTTGGGGTCTTTGTGTCCAAAATCTGGGGCGTTTTGGTGCTTTGGTGTCTCAATCCGGAGCGTTTTGGTGCCCAGGTCCCCAAATCCAGGGCACTTTGTGTCCAAAACCTGGGGCGTTTTCGTGCCTTTGTTCCCGAATCTGAGGCGTTTTGTTGCCTTTATGTCCAAAATCTATGATATTTTGGTGCCTTTGTCCCAAAACCAGGGCGTTTCGGTACCCATGTCCCCAAATTCAGGGCATTTTGGTGCTTTTGTGTTCAAAATCTGTGGTGTTCTGGTGCCTTTATCTCAAATATAGGGCATTTTCATGCTTTTGTTCCAAAATCCAGGGCATTTTGGTGCTTTTACGCCCAAAATATGGGGCATTTTGGTGCCTTTATTCTAAATATTGAGACTATTTATACGTGTCTCTCCATAATCCAGGCTGTTCTGATGCCTTTATGCCAAAAACAAGGCGTTTTAGTGCTGATGTCCCCAAATCCAGGACACTTTGGTGACTTTGTCCCCAAAGCTGGGGCGCTCTGGTGCTATTATCCCAAAATCTGGTGCACTTTCCTACTTTTATCCCCAAATACAGGGCATTTTGGTGTTTTTTGTCCCCAAACCTGGGCATTTTGGTGCCTGTGTCCCTCAATCCAGGGGGTTTTGGTGCCTTTATCCCCAATTTTGGGAGTGTTAGTGCCTGCGTCTGCAAAATCTGGGCTATTTTGGTGTCTTTATCCCAAATCTGGGGTGTTTCGGTGCACTTTGCGTTGTTTGTTGAGATTTGCAAGGAATGCTCAGCTGCCTCCAGCCCAAATTTGGGGCATTTTGGTGCATTCCAGCCCAAATTCAGAACATTTTGGTGCTTTTCCTTCGGTTTAGTTGAGATTCATAGCAGTGTTAGCGAAAATTCGGGGCACTTTGGGACCTCTGATCCAAACGTGGGGCAGTTCAGCGCCCTTCCTCCCCACCTGCTGACATTCGTAGCCACGCTCCGTTCCTTCCAACCCAAATTTTGGAACATTTGGGTGCCTGCAGTGCAAATCTGGGGCACTTTGGGGAACCTCCAACCCAAAATTGAGTCGCTTTCGGACCTCCAACCCCAATTTGGGGCACTTTGGGGGACCTCCAGCCCCAAGTTGAGGTACTTTGAGACCTCCAACCCAAATCTGGGGCGCTCTGGGTCATTTCTCTCTATGTGTTGAGACCTGAAAGTGATACTCAGCCGCCTCCAACCCCAATTTGGGGCACTTTGGGGGACCTCCAGCCCCAGGTTGAGGTACTTTGAGACCTCCAACCCAAATCTGGGGCACTTTGGGTCATTTCTCTCCACGTGCTGAGACCTGAAAGCGATACTCAGCCGCCTCCAACCCCAATTTGGGGCACTCTGGGGGACCTCCAGCCCAAATATGAATAATTTTGGTGCTCCCGACCCCAATTTGGAGCACTTAGAGACCATCAACCGCAATTTGGGGCCCTTTGGTTCACTTTCCCCCACACCTTGAGATCTGAAAGCAATACTCAGCCGCCTCTGACCCCAATTTGGGGCATTTTGGTGCCATTTCCCCCCCCATGCTGAGACGCGCAGCGACGCTGAGGGTTCCGTACCCCGAATTTGGGGCGTTTTGCTGCTTTTGGGGCCGTTTCAGCTCTCAACCCTGCGGGTCCAACACCACATCGCGGTTCTGCGCCTCTCCCTTCCTCCCACGGGCTGCAAAACGGGGAGCAAAAAGGGGAGATGGGGGTCACGGATGCATCGCGAGGCTTTGAGCCGGCACCGCTCCCCGCGGCTCGGTTCGGTTCGCCCGGAGGACGATGAGGAGGAGCCCCACGGAGGATTTTGGTCCCCCCCTCTGTGTGCCCGGCGTTAATTCCCACCTCCCTTTTGCGTCTGTTTCTTCAAGGCAAGCGGATGCGCGTGCAGTTGTCCACCAGTCGGCTCAGGACCGCGCCCGGGATGGGAGACAAGAGCGGCTGCTACCGGTGCGGGAAGGAAGGGCACTGGTCTAAAGAGTGTCCGGTAGATCGCCCGGGGCAAGTGGCTGACTTTACCGAGGCCTATAACGAGCAGTACGGAGCCGTGCGCACTCCCTACACCGCGGGCTATGGGGAGACCATGTATTACGATGACGCGTACGGCGGGATGGCCGACTACTACAAGCGCTACCGCGTCAGGTCCTATGCGACGGCCTCTGCGTACGACGCCTACGCAGAGCAGACCATGGCCCAGTACTCCCAGTACGCCCAGTACTCCCAGGTCCAGTCCACGGCCATGGCGGCCACCACGGCCATGGCCAGCCGCATCCCCACCACCTTAGACCCCTACGATAGAGCTCTGCTGCCCACCCCGGGCGCGGCGGCGGCCGCTGTCGCCGCCGCTGCCACCGCCGCCGCCGCCGCGGCCTCCTCCACCTATTACACCCGGGATAGAAGCCCCCTGCGCCGCACGGCAGCCGCGGCCACCACCGTCGGAGAGGCGTACACGTACGATCGTAGTCAGCTGTCGCCGGTCTCGTCGGTCGCTCGCCCTTCGCTCTACGACATGCAGCGCTTCGAGCGCGACCCGTACGCGGACAGGGCGCGGTACTCTGCCTTTTGAGCCGAGGTGAGCGCCTGCCGCGGGGCCGACTCTCCCGTGAGGCGTCCCCGTGGATTTCCTGCCCCGCCGAGGGGGGCCGAGAGCGAGAGGAGGTGTGGAGAGGGGGAGGGGGACGCGGCCGCGCACCCCCAGGGCGGAGCGGGGCGGTGAGCGCGGCGCTGCCAGCACCGGTCCCTCCCGGTTCGGCGCCGGCCGGTTGGTAACGGGCCTTCGTCTCCCAGGAGGTGACCCCCCCAAGGCGGAAGGAGCCCGGCAGGATTACTCCCCCCCAAGCCGAGGAAGCCCCCCCGGAGCCCCCTCTGCGGCCGGCGCCGCGTCAGGTCAGAGGAGCCCCGGGTCGCCGCCGCCGGTCTCGTCCCCGCGTCGCGGGATCCAACCGGGGGGGGCTCCCCTCTCCCAGCGCCACGGGGGGGAAGGGGCCGCTCGCCCCCCCCCCCACCACGCACCCACCTCCCGTCTCCTCGGGGTGTCACCGTGTGTTCCCCACGTCCTGGCCGATCCCCACCCCCCGCCGGCGGCGTCCCCGGGCCGGTGGTCCCGGTGCAGCCCTCTGACCGCTCTCTGCTCTCTTCCAGGTCGGGTGGCGGCGAAGTGGAGTCTACATTTCCCCCTCCAAAACGGCCGCCGGGCCCCCCTCCCCTCCCCTCCCTTCCCCTCCC